CTGAGTTTACCTCCATCGCATCACAAGCGCACCCCTGCTATGCTGCCAAGAAGCCAGGCGCCACTTTAAGGTCATTTTCCCCATGTCTAATTTTACCCTTGGGTACGCTTGAGTAGAGCGTATGAGAGCAGCCATCATTTTAAACACTTGTTTCAGGCGCTATTTCTTTCTCAGTTTATGTGCCTCCGTTCTGAGGTGATGGAGTGCTAATGAACAGACAGGCAGATGCAATTTGCCTGAGGTCCTTATGTGGCTTTCTTGAAGGCCTGATGTCGAACACATTACTGTGCCTCAGCTCAATGTGAGGGAGATTGGGGCTCACGGGTAACAAACGGCCTGAATCATGAGGTTCATCAGGTGATCTAGTGGACTATGGCAGATTCAATCAAGCGGCGGTTTGAAATATTCTACCGAGACTAAGTGAGAGCTAATGAGCTGCTATGAATGCATATCGTTATAGACTAAACTTGAAGGTTCTCTACTAAATCCAGCGTTGTGTATGGTCACTGTTGACTAGTCTTTAAGATATATATATTTTTAGCTTGCCCATAATGAAAGGAAGGAAGAATCGTGGTCAGCTAATTGAGGCTTTAACATCTTAGTATGAATGTAGTCTGGGGGGAGCCAATCAACAGATCCAGGCAGAAGGAAATAACAAAGCCCGGAGCTGGAGGTGTCAGATCACACAAGAAGAACAGCGCACTGTGGGACTTTTGTCACATGGCTCACCCCCTGATATTGCAGATTGTGGCTGCCTGCCTCCTCAACTCTTCTAGCTCAGTTAGCTCACAAGAGGAGCCAGCCAAGGTCTTGGATAAAACCCCCGGAGTTTCAGACAGAGGTCTCTCCCTTCCATCAATCCGTTATCTACTCTCTGAACTCTTTCGACTCTAAAAGGACAGACTGCAAATATGAAAATAGCTCGATGTTTAATGCCTGAACAACGGCTTGCTGGGGACGTGCCTAGTCAACCAGTGGCTTTTGCCCACAAGGCGAGGGCATTCTTCACACCTGTCTGCAAGGATAAGTGGGCTTGTCACAGGCAAAGCTAATCTGTTGCAACGCTCAGTCACACTCAATCCCCTGGTGGAACGCTGCGCTTGTCCTTGAATGTTTGCTGGCACTGGAAGCATACTTGGGCCGCTGATCGGTTTAAACGTGGTGGAAAACATGTCAATGAGGAGCAGCGGCCTCTTGTCTCTTTACAGACAGCTTCGAGGACTTTTGCCCTTTACAGTTAGCACTTTTAATGCTCCGGAAGGAACAAACTCATCCTAACACAGGGATATATGCTGTCTGCGGAGGTAATTAGCTTGTGAATAACACAGTTCGGCGCAGTGCCTGTCTAAACATTAAAACGTCACTCAAACGGAGACATAAATTGAGTCTGTATTTTACCGGATAAAACCTACAACACAGAGACAACAAAAAACAACAAAAGGAGCTATCAAATGCACTGAGTCAGTCTTCTTATGTGTAATCACCACCCTATTCACTGGTCAAAATTATACTTTCAACGTAATCACACATTTTAACATCATATTGTATAAACTTTGCGTTTATGGTTTTCAGAAATGTTTCCCGTGGTAATTTGTAATAAGTAGGTGGAAAAACATATTTTTGTTCAATCATGAAATAAGGACTGGAGTAGATGAAACAACGTGCTTACACAAACATCAATACCAGCAAAATGTTGTTGTCTATGTTTCTTTTTGATGTAGTTAAGTTGCTTTGGACTGAAGACTGAGTCCTTGGAGGAGAAGGGAGATACTTGTTGGAAAATACTACTCTGAATAGATCAAAGGAGTTGAAGGATGACTAGTGAAAAAGAGGGAAGCTAAAGACATTTTTAGAGAAATGGTTTAATTTTAAAGCTGAAGAATGTAATTATTTTTACAGCACACCATTAACTGAAAAAAAAAAAAAACGAGATAAAAGAAAAAGAGCAAATTGAGGCATGGCAGAGGGAAAAAAAGACAGTGAACATCAGTAAATACAATTAATGGTTGCTTTTATTTTGTTCAAACACAATAAAATCAATGTCATTAGCTTCTGTATCTGAAACTTACAATCTATGCTTCCCAGCTGAATGGGACAGACAGCTCAGTTATATGAAGAAACTCTGAAATGATTTTATTAGAGCTAAGGAGCAACTAGAATAACACTCAGTCTGATCCAAAACGCTGCAGCTGTCTAAGGGGCAAGTTAACAAAATATTTGAATACTGAAGCACATGCAAACCTGAATTTGCATGTGCTTCTGATTTCGATACTAGAAGCAGAACCACTCCTAAAACAGACAACGTCTCTCTGCACTAATACAATTTGCTGAAGATTAAATTAGATGTTATGCTTGTATTTAGGGAAAAGGCTATCTATATTGTTTTAGACGTATATAAATCACAAACAGTACAAATTGCTGGGTATTCTGAAAAGCTAAAAGTTTCAGAATACCTGTGTTTCAGAATATCTGCTACACAGATTTTCCACAAAAACTTGCGCTGAAAGCTTGTAGCTTAAATATGATCCAAATAAATTAAACAATTTTTGCCTCTGAATAACCTAGTCATGCTGATGCATCCCTCGTTTCTCTTACAATCTCTCTGAGTTGGAAATGTTAATATTTTACTCGGACAGTTTTGGTGAAATGTTATTCACCAAAATTTAAACTTGTCTGCTGGCAATAGTAAGAAATTTGTTTCTGTCTCTTTGATTTTAATAGCAGCTGTTGCGTTTTTCCTGAAAGGGGGACAATTAAAAAAAAAAAAAAGTTCAAAAAAAAAAAAAAAGTTCAAATTGCTTCCATCTGCTAGACTTGTTGGGCATGTTTATGTCAGCTTTTATCTAGCGATATCGTTTTTGTGAATCCAGTGCAAGAGTTGCAAAAAATGAAGGAGATTGCAGTGCTTTGTCGATTCCCATGTAAGTTTTGAGGAGTTTGTTTGAGATATTTGGATTTAACCAAAAAAAAACATTCTTGAGTCCTATATGTGTTTTCAGTGTTTGATTCTGACTCTGGAGACATCAAACTTCACAGTAGAGCAGAACCTCCTGCAGAATTATATGCTAGCACAAACATTTTCCAGTGATTTAAGAAGTGAGTGTTTCTATGGTTTAGAGGATTATAAACCTGACCCGCAAGCAGCAAAAAAAAAAGCCTGTTTAAGATTTTAAGAGACCCATCTTTAGATAGTTGGGAGACGAGATCCACCAGTCAGATTCAGTTCAATGCACAATTCAAAGACAAAAAGAAATATCCACTGGGGGAATATGTGGATTTAATTTGAAAGATTTTCCACAGCGTCTGTTTGTAAAAGTCGTGTTTTATTAAAAGTACGAGGAAGAAAATCAAAGAGACCGCTCTTAAATTCTGAGAGTTTTGCAGAACTGATGACTAACACAAAAATTCAACAGACAGACATGACAGAGAGACTGGGTGATATCAGGCAGCTCATGTGTTTCCAGAATACGTTCGATTGAATGGCATTGTTTTGGAAACAGAAGTGGGAACAATCTTTGGCTCAGTCTGCTTAGTCAGCTGAAGAATTGTTTCTTTGTGAGAGATTTATTTTCAGCGACTGTGTGATACTGTCATGCTGCTTGAGTATGTAAGGAAAGCTGAAAATGTTGTCTGTTCATTCATGACTGTGCTCTAAAACGCCTGTAATGAGCCACAAGCTTTTAGCTGTGTTTTTCAGTGAATCCCGAACACAGAAGTTTACAAACTTATCAGATTTCTTTTGAGTGCTCAATTTCTCACTTTTTTCACTATTCCATCTCTGTTTTATTTTTTTATTTTTATTTTTGCCAACCAGTTTGTTCCTCGTGGGTCACCAGGAGTAGGTCTTCCAGTTGTATTAAAAATTTAGTCTGTTGTTGCTTGTTGAGGAAGCTTTCAGTTACTGAGCTTTGCTCTGTGGTACAAGCTGCCTTCTGGCCTCTAACATCTGCATTCAACAGTGAATTACAACCGTCTTATTCTCCAAGGCTTTGAGTTAATTACTGCCTGTCTATGTGTGGGTATGCATGACTTGCATTGTTTACTATGTGTTTTTGCAATGTGTTTACTAGTTACTTTGTAGTGCTGTGGTAGTGGTTAATTGAAATTTTACATCTTATATTTGTGACGAGCTTATTTTTATGAGGTTAAATTTATTTTCTTATTTTGTTACCAAAGGACAAAAGTTTTATTAGAGTCATGTGATTCTTGGTTGACATATGTAAACAAATCACTGGGATCCATGACACCAATCGACAATTTGTCAGAAACTACTAGCAAACTTCCCCTTATAAGAAAATCCAGTACCTTAATTAAATATTTTTCACATTTTGTCAACTTAATCTTGCAAATCTCTATGTTCAGATTTATTTCAAGAGACTCCACAAAGAAGCTCAGTTGGGTGGAAAATTATAAGAAGCTTTCATTAAAAAAAAGTAATAGAAAGTTGTGATATGCATATGTAATCCACACCCTTTTAATCTGATACTTTTAAATAATATCCAATTTCCTTTGAAAGTAATCTAATGAGTGTATTTAATCGACGCTTACAGCCTCACTGAAACTGAACTAAAATTTAACCTTGTCAAATTTCAAGTTGACAAGGTTGGCAGGTGGCTTGTAGAACCACGAGCAGGAACAAGTGGTTCTACAAAATAGATATAAAATGCATGCCACACTTTTCAGATCCTTATTTGTGAAAATGTTGTCGTTCTTTTCTTACAATTCACAGTTATGCAGTACTTTGTGTTGGTCTGTCTTGTGTAATTTCCATAAAATACATCAAAAAACAAACATCAAAAAGGTTAAGGAGCATGAGCATTTTCTCATAGTATGCCGAGCTTAATCCCCTCGTAATATCTAGTCGTAATTCATGTGCCGAATGCAACTTTTTAAAATTCAATTTACTGCTTAAAACCTTAATATGATAGCAATGATAATACTTTGAAGTAAATGCATGTTGGAGCCTGTTTGGTAACTGTATGTATTTGTTTTGCCTGCAGCCAGTCCCACAGGATCTGGACCGAAGGGTTACCCGGGCACGTCAGAGGTCTTCCGGGAGTCCAGCAGCACAACGGGGATGGTGGTTGGCATTGTAGCAGCAGCTGCCCTGTGTATACTCATCCTCCTTTATGCCATGTACAAGTACCGAAACAGAGACGAGGGATCGTATCACGTGGATGAGAGTCGCAACTACATCAGCAACTCAGCACAATCCAATGGCACAGTAGTCAAAGAGAAACCCATCAACAACCCGAAAACCTCCAGCAAGAACAAGAAGAACAAGGACAAAGAGTACTACGTGTGACTGAGGACCCTTTGGTCTTTTCTAGGCCGACATCTGTCTCAAAGATGGATCAGGACATAAACATGTGTACAGGATAATAACAAAGATGAACAATATTTAGTCATTTTTTTCTTACAAGCTAATGCCCTACAAAATAAACTGAAAATAAAAATATAAATTTCTTTACTCTAAAGAACCCCAAACAAAAAGGACATGCTGTCCAGAGAGAGACTCTAAGGGAAAAAGACTGGCTAATATCTAAAGTGAACCAAACAATAATAACCCATGTGTGACTTGCCAGAGTAATGCCACCCATCCGTCATGTTTCTGGGAACAGAAGAGTACAGACGCACTTTGCAGACAGAGATTCAGCATTACAAACTGTGCATTTACATTGCCTGTGTTTGTGTGGTTGACTTTTTTTTTTTCTAGAGAAAATGGCACACTGCATCAATAAATACATACCATAAATATGCCAAACATTGACTCCAGAAGGGAAGGAAGGAGGAAAAGAAATCGCACGGTGGAAAATTTCAGGCCAAAGCACTCACCGAAGAGGCAGTGAAGTCCGGCCAAGACTTATTTGTTTCACTGAGCTGTTGCAGTGTAAAGATTAGAACAGATGGTTGTTTCTCATGAAATGGTCTGATTTACAAGGACAGCTCTTTGAGAGAGAGAAAGTGGAGACCTTCATTTTCCACATGGTGTGATCTTAAAGGGACGGCGTTTCTCCTCAGATTCCTGGGGATCTGAGAAAAGGTTGTCACCTGGGAGCCATGCACGCAAATTATCTTATTACAGTACATATGTTTATAAACAGTACAACCACATCTATATGTGCTTTCTGGACTGTGACAAAGTGGTGTTTTATAGCCTGTTGTAAAGACGATGCAAAATATAACTGCTCCTCAACCATTTTGGAATAAAATCTATTAAAAAATAAAAAAGAAAGATACATATGTGTTAATAGATGTTGCTAGACATAGAAGATTTTATGAGGACATGTTTTTTTTTTCTCTCAGTTGAATGATAATTTGAAATATCCTTGTTTTTACATGTGTTCCTATATAGTTTTTATACAAATGCCAACCTGAGATAAATAACCCTGGACCAGTAATAGCCTATCCATTCCCAAAAACCACACAAGACACCAACAGTGGAATCTCGTGTGAATCTCTTTCAAGGAATCACTGCCTTTCTCCTCCGTCCTGATTTAGATAGGTGAAAATGAAGAACAAGAATATGAGTGGTGATGATTACGAGGCTGGACGATGACAAAGATTAGGAGAAAATAATTTGTGTGCGTGTTTTTTTTTTTTTTTTTCCAAAGGGGTACCAAAAAAGGGGACGGTGTGTGCTTGGGCTGACCCTAAATCCTGAGGAGAATAGGTCAAATAAGCCTCCATTTCAACTGTTCTGTGTTTGTTCTGTCATTCTGTCTGTCAAATCTGCTTTCCAGACCTGTACTTGGAATGAGTATGAGGAAAAATGACCATGAACTATAAATGATGATTATGAATTCCCTTTGTTTGCTGCTCTTTTGTTTAATTCCAAGTTTGTTTGTTTTTTATTTCAAATGTAGTTCTTATGTACTCCCAAGTTTAAAAGGTTTCCTTAGTTTTGAAAAAGCAAACTAATAAAACATTACCTAAGTGAACTTAAACTAGTCTGATGACAAGCTCTATAATATAATTGCAGGTTTTTGTGATCAGATTTCCTCCAATCCCGTAATTTTTACTTCAGATCTGATCGCAATATCTGAATTTAAATATCTGTTCATGCCAACATTTTCTGATCCTCAGCGCCTTTAGTATTGTTTACAATCACGGTGTTGTAAAAAGGAACAGGGATAAACCACACAATCACTGCAAGTTTTATTCACTGTATTTGTGTCCTTCATCTGTACTTTTTCAATAATTGCAAAACAGGCATCAAGAGGAAATACGAGTTAACTATTTCAGTAAATGAAGTCAAAACATGTGATAAGGATGTTTTTAAAATATATTTTGTTGCAGACTGCAACAGCGGACTCTATTGTTAGTTTTTGAAGGCTGATGTAGCTCTAGTTGGGTTTATTCATTTTTTGGTGGTCTGGAAGAAAGACAAGAGAGAGAAGGGGAAGACATGCAGTAAATGGACCGAGATAGGAATCAAACCAGAACAGCTGTGTAGTCTCCACAGATGGTGCACCTGCTCTACCACTGAGCCATGTTGCACCCCCTGAGCCTCTCAGCTCCACAGCAGCTAGATGTTGAGAGCTAAAAAAATAAAAATAAAAAATAAGCAATGTTCCCTATTTCAGTTCACCTTCATGTCATTCCTAAAACTGTTGCTCCTGTGTACAATTCTACTTTTCCTCTGTTATTACTTTTTCTTTTCTTTTTTTTTGCACAAAATTCAATCAACAAGAATCTCTTATTTTCTCGTTTTGCTCACCAACATTTTTCCAAAGAAGATGATGTTGAGTCCTCCCTCTGCAGGCAACAGATATTCCACTGACAGTAGTTTCTCTGTCCATACGTTTAAACATTTGGCTGTAAGCCCTAACTTCAGGGTAAATTCAACCAACATACAACCTCCAGCTACACAGAGCAACTGTGCCAGGATCAATATACTGTGCCTGGACCTGATAGCGGATGCCAGAATTACGTCAGTACTTCATCCAGTACCAATACTGGATCGGATCCAGGCCATCTGCTGTTGTGATTTAATAACCTTTTGTAAACACCCTTAAGTCTTGTGATAACCGGGTTTAGATTTTTTTTGTCTATTTGCTCTTCTTTCATCCCAAATCCATGGGACCTCCATTACCCTTAAATCAATTGGATGACTGCAGCCGCGGGAGCTATGCTAGTAATCTCTAATGTTGCTTCGAGCCACTAGACTCTAGCAGAGATGCTCAGCAGGCTACATTTGTGAAGCTCACCTCTGTGTACCTTCACACCCACAGATTTGTCTTTCATTTTCTAACTTGTAGCCTTCAATCTTAACTCAAGTGACACCACTTGACATTCATCAGCTGGGAAGACAGGTATGAAACTTTTCACCGTTTTTACGTGGCACATTTTAAACTCGGAGCGTTAATCTCTGAGACATGTAAACCGACTCTGAAGTGTAAAACGGGACAGACCGGGGTTCTTTGAGCCAGTTCATCTGTCAGATTTTGGCTCCTAATGTGACGAGTATCGACTGCATCCAATTATATGTCAACAAGACAGAAAAATGTAAAGGGAAAAATTTATGCTTGAGAGAAACAAATCTAGTACCGTAGTTTGATCAAAGACATGTTATCTACTTATTTCTTCTTTGAGCATGTTCTTGTCTGGTCAGGCAGGTTAAAGTGTAACAAGACACACAGTATTTGGGAACCTGGTAGGATATTTTAATGTGATGTACATATAATATATTTTGTTCATTTAGAAAACAATACCTTTAAAACTAAAGTATTGCAAAAAAAAAAAAAAAACACAAGCAAAGACTGGAAACCTTTAACAAAGCTCTACTTTACAGTTAAGTTCACTGAAAACATGTCAGTAATGTAAGTCGCTAAAACTTTTTTTTTTTTCAAAGCTAACAACATGTCAGCAAACTGTGGTGATATGAAAAGTTGGCACTTAGAAAATTAAAATCGTATTATACACCTGACTAGAATCCCTGAGTAGCAACATCATGCTGTTAAATATTGATTGCAAAGGGAAAGAACAATTTCTCTGAAGAACTGCAACAGGAAAAAAATGTGTCACTTGGTTTCCAAAGCTTGTGGTAAAGGAATGAAACAGTTCAACACAATTGTAAACTCTTTCCCTTCAGTGAAACATGCTGCTGATTTTAAGCCCAAAAAGTTCATCAGCGTGTTAAATGAGATGATCACAAAATATTTAAGGTCAGATGGAGATAATCTCACTAAGTACAGAGAGCCATTTTCAAATTACAGATAATAGTTATGGAAAAAAGTAATTTCTGGAAGTTGCTAAATAATACATTGATTAAACTTCCTTTGCAGCTACGTATCTGAATAAAGTCAACCAATAGAAATTACCTAAATATAACATTTCAAACTGTATAGAGCAGGGTAGCGCACCGATCAAGCAACACATAGTGCACTCTTCTGAAGAAATTTAAATACAGGAGAAAAAAAGAGTCACTATCTATCACTCTGTTAAGACTTAAAAGCTGTTTCTAAGGCTTGGTGTCTCTAGTAAACCTCAGTGGGAGCCATTATCCAAAAACATGAAACAGAGGTGAACCTTCCCAGGAGCAATCATTCTACCAAAATTACTCAGAGGAAGCATTGAGGACATACCCAGGAGGTCATAAAAGAACCCAGACTAACATCTAAAACACTGTTGGACATACTTGGTTAAGGTCAGAGTTCAGGATTCAAAAAAAAAAAAAAAAAAAAAAAAAGATTGAGCCAAAAAATATTCCTGAGAGTAGCCCAAAATCAAAACAGCTGCTGACCAAAAAGCAGAGGAAACGCATGTGGAACTTTTTGGAAGACATGCTTCCCATTACACCTGAAGGAGAATGTCCAGTTGGTGACCTTATGCTCATGCTACTGTTTCATGCAGCTCTAAAATATAAAAACAATATTACACAAAGTTTAAAAGACCGATACAAAACAGAGTGAAGACACAGCACCCATGTAGATTACAGATTAATCTACAGTGATTCCAGTCAGTGCTTAGGTTTGGAGTTGCTTAGTCAAAATTCAAACATAACTCTAAATTAGATGTGCATGACTATATACAGTTTGTCCGTAACAGAAAAGCCTTCAATATGGCTGAATTTAACAAAATCTACAAAAAAAAGTAAAGTACTCATTGCCAGTCATTGCAAACGATGCCAAGTGTTACTGCCAAAGGTAGCATAAACACTGAGCCAGTTTTAAGATTCTTTTATTTTTTTTTAAAAAAGACAGCTTTGTTTGGACACCTTATTTAATCCATCCATCAGCTGTCCTCAGTTATTCTTGCAGGATTAAGTCATAAATTAAAACCAACATTTTGCAGCTATAATATTCTTTTTGACGACATGAAACATTTAAGTGTTACATAAAAAGCAAAAATAATAGTTTTCACTGGACTGCATCTTCTTTCACAATAACATGAAAGCAGGAAGGATAGAACGCCGTTTTGTGTTACAAAACACACACACACACACACACACACACACACACACTGCTGTCATGTTCTTCTTGAGTAACTCAAAAATATTTACAAGGAAATCCAACTATAATCTATAAGTCAGAATGTTTCCAGGCCAAGTGGATCATGCCTAATGTATCTCCTGCCCTGAAGATGTTGGTAGAGAGCATTTCTTGACATCAGTAGGACGAAATCTCAGACTGTTTAGTTGCTTTAGAAGGACTGTGTTAAACTGATGCATCTTTTATTCAAAGGGCAATATGAATTGAGAATGTTTAAATTCAGGGTAGTGTGTGCAACATAGGCAAAAGAAGCTGTGTTTACATTTAGTGTTTCTCAGCAAAGTTGTTTGTATCTCGAAGGCCTGACATTCAGGCTGAACATGTTTTGTAACTGATAAAATATTCACAAAGCCTTGTTTTTGAAACCTGCATTGTTTGTATTGTCTTGAGGCCCCCCGTTTCTTCTCTTTCATCAATACCGCAGCCAAAAAAAAAAAAAAAAGCTTGGTTTTAGGACATAAATGCATCGTGCTTTATATTATTTGAGGAAGTGCTTATGACAACATGCGTTGTGTAGCAACACCGGCGGTCAAATGTCCACAAGCTGTCAGGCTTGGAAGTAAAGATTATGGAGCTAAAGAATTTTTAGTAAGTTTGGTTGCCACAAGAAAAGCCTTAATGCTGTAATTTCAGTTCTGTTTTTGCACACATTTCTTTCAATGGTTCGAATTTTTTTCTTTTGTCTTATCCATGCATCCAACAGCTTACTCACATATTTTTACACACAAGAGCTTCCTTGG